TAGGTCATTTGTGTACCCACATGAATTTTAAGATCGGTTCTCAGTAATGTTCTGCACTTTTCAGTCTTATACTTATGTTCTGCATCGTTCAAGTTTCAGACATTTTTGCTAAATTTATCCCAAAATGTTTGATTATTTTGGTTGTACTATAAATGGTATTCTTTTTAAGTTTCAATTTCTATTTGTTTGTGGCTACTAATAGAAGTAAAATTGATTTGCATTATTTTGACCTTGAATACCATTTCAATGAGGTTTTAGTTTTAGCAGTTTTAGTGGCTATTTTATGAATTTCACAGGATTTTCGAAGTACATTATCGTATCATTTGGGAGTAATGACAGTTTTACTTCTCTGAAATCTGTCTATCTCCTTTTCCTGATTTACTATACTTGTTAGACACACAAGAAAATTCTAAACAGAATTGATGAGAGTGGACATCCTTGTTTGTTCCCAGTGATGGGGGAAAGCATTCATTAACTATTATTTAATATGACACTCTCTGCAGGTTGTTTTTATAGATGCTTTTTATCAGATGAGAAAGTTCCCTTCTTTCCTACTTTGATGAGTTTTCCTTGTGAATGAATTTTTAATACTTATTCATTATATCTATTTGTCCTATCAATTATAGATAGGGGAGTATTGATATCCCCTAATATGATTAAAAACTTGTCTATTCCCCCTTGAACTTGTCAGTTTTTGCTTCATGTATTCCAAAGATTTTATTATTTGATTATGTTTAGTATTATTATATAGTCTTAATTATTTGATCCCTTTATCATTATGAAATGTTCATTATTCCTAATAAATTCTATAATATTTCTTTTATTTGATTTTTATATAGCCACTCCTGCTTTTTTAGTGATTTGTGTTTACATATCTTTCTCCATTCTTTTAACTTTTAACCTATGGTATTTTATATTTAAAGTGGATTTTTTAAAGACAGAAAATATTTGGGTCTTACTGTTTTATCCAGTCTGATAATCTCTGTCTTTTAATTGGATCTTTAGACCAAAGACTAGAAAATTATGGCCTGTTAGCCTGTGGCCCATTTTTGTATAGCTTAAGGGTTGTTAAGAAAGAAGGAGAAAAAAAAGCAGCAGTATCAGAAGTGACAGAGACCAAAGGTGTCCCACAAAACTAAAATATTTACTATCTTGTTATCACTACTTATTGGCCGGTTACAGAACAGGTTTGCCAACCCTTGCTTTAGGATACTATAGAGGCACAGCTAAGACAAGGAATACAGTGAGAAGATCTAATACAGAATAAAATGGAGTCCCAGAAAGAGAAGAAATAAAAGGGACAGAAAAAAATATTAGATGAGATAAAGGATGAGAATTTTCTATACGTGATAAAAAGCATTAAGACACAGACAAAAGAACTCCAATGAATCTCAGGAAGGCCATTTTTAAAAAAAATCTAGGCATTACAGTAAAACTTCAGAAAATCAAAANCACATATGAGGGCCAGTGACACTGCCCTCCACAGATTGAAGAACAAAACCACAGCAACTTGTCTGTTCCCCTTCCCCCAATTCCCCAGCACTGTTCCCATCCCCCCAATTCCCCAATAAAAGAAAAAATCTTTTAAACAAAAAGATTATGAATAATATAATTAAATGCAGAAAAACTGCTACCTTATTCATTGCTTTCTTTGAAACCAGTAAAAGTAGTTTTTTCTACAAACACTTACCATCCACTCAGATATAATGACATCCACTTTTTCTACAGGAAGACGAACTTCTTCAATCTTTCCTTTAATTAGTATAATAGTATCTTCAAGTTTATTTAGTCTGAAAATTATCATAATAAATTAGCATGTTAAACAGAGTCTGAAAATAGTGAAATTACATAATTTCTTGGCAACTGTTCAAATTATTTTGTGGAACCAAAAGCATATTCAAAGTTTATTTATTCCCTGGGCATATAATTACTTTCTGGTCACTTCATCAATGCTCAGGAATATTTCTGGTTAATATTATAAGACACTGAAACAATATTTTAAAACTTCAGCCTGAAAAGAAATCCAAATTTTATCAAGAATACATGTCAATAAAGTAACTGGGTCTTTTTTATTTTTTTAAAGGGAGGGGTGGAGACAGACAGACTAGCCAACAAAAGTATGTTTTTAAGGGAAATGTGTCATATTGGAGAGAGCATTAGAAGCCAGAGCTCTTACTTTAAAACCCAGATTCTTTAGCACTCGTCAGCTAAGCGATCTTCACCAAATTACATAATCTTGCTAAGCCTATGTGGTCATGTGTAAAAGAATGATGACACCTGCCCCATCCACTTCACAGCCTATTATGAGGACCAAATATTTGTGAAAGCTATGTATGTATATCCTCAAGCAATGTATAATGGTAATGATATTACCACAAATAACAAAATACTGCACATTATATAAAACTTGAAATTCTATTCCAATCACAAATTATTTAGCCTTGTCCAATGACAATCATTAGATTATTTTATATGCTTGATTATAAGATCAGCACATACTTTCACCTCCTCTTTTGCAATTTGAAATAACACAGTTAAAAGGGATAATTTCAAAAATCTAAAAGCAAGCTGCTAAGTTTATATCTAGTTAAATAAATAAAATCTTCACAGCATGTACATCTCAATTATAAAGGATTTTTTCTGCTAACAAAGGAGGGATTCCCCCCACATACACACATACGCCTTCATCAAGGTATCATTTACATAAAATTAAATGCATCATTTTAACAGTAAATTTTGTTGAGTTTAAAAAAAAACAGATACTTGAGTGACCGCCACCATCATCAATATATAGAACATTTCTATCTCCTCAAAAAGATTTATTAGTGCTCTTTTCTACAAAATTCTCCCATCCACAGGTGCAACCACTCATTTTCTTTCTTTCCACTATATATTAGATTTGTATTTTGTAGAGTTTCATATAAATGGAATCATACTGAATGCACCCTTCTGTGTCTGGTTTCTTCTGATAAGCGTACATTTTAGTTTTAGATTCATACATATTTGTATGTATATAAGTAGTTCATTCTTTGTTATAGGTGAGCAGTATTCCACTGCATAGATAAAACACAACTGTTTATCCACATACCTGTGGATGGAATTCTGGACTGTTTCCAGCTTTGGGCCATAACAAATAAAGCTGTTAAAAATATTTGTGTACAAGTAGAATTGCTCTGTCAAGTGAAAATGTATCTAACATTTTAAGAAACTATCAATTTGTTTTACAGAGTGCATATACAATTTTACATTCCCATCAGCAATATATGTACATTCCTGTTGATTCAAATCCTTGTCAACACATAGCATTGTTGAGTTTGAAAATTTAACTGTGTGGTGAGATTTACTATAGTTAGAAATTGCATTCTCCTAATGAATGTCCAAGCATTTTTTTCCATGTGCTAAATGGCCATACTCCCATATTTTTTGTTCAAATTTTTTCTCCTTTAAAAAAATCAGGTCAGTTTTAATCTCATCGAATTTTAAAAGCTCTTTACATATTCTAGATAAAATTCCTGTCAGATTTATATATAGTAAATATTTTCTACCATACTGTGGCTTTTTAAATTATTATTTTTTTTTTAAGATTTTTTTTATTGGGGAGTTGGGGGATGGGAACAGCACTGGGGAATTGGGGGAAGGGGAACAGACAAGTTGCTGTCCTTTTTTTGGTTCTTCAGTCTAGTTGTGGAGGACGCTGCTTCATCGGCCCAAGTTGGCACCATCATTGCGCTCTTCGTGGGCGAGGCAGATCAGTCCCCGGCTTCTGCACGGCCGCTCACTGCGGCTGTTGGCCACTCACACTCACTGCTGGCTACACACGGTAGCCCATGGCAACCCACTGCAGCAGGGGCTGCAGCCTACCTCGTCGCTGGCAACTCATGGCAGCCCAGCTCCAGGTTGAGGTGCTGTTCAGCATCTTAGCTGTGGAGGGCAGTGTCATTGGCCCTCATATGTGGGATCCGAACCGGGGCCCTCTGGTGTCCTAAGCCAGCTCTTAACCAATGCGCCACTCGGCCCANGTCACAGAACTGGGAAAAACTACTAGATTATGGAACTGTATATATATACACACAACGTAGATGCATGTTTTCCAATATGAAAATCATAACCACAAACCTATATCTATGAAAAATCTAAGCAGGATCAATGTAATTTTTTTCATTAACATTAATTTGGTACTTGTTAATAGTAACAATAGCTAACATTTGAATACCTACTATACACCAGGCAATATGCCAAGGATTTATATGCATATTTTACTTATAATTTTTTTATATTACTCATAGCAAATGAAGTAGTCATTATTATTTTCATTTTGACAGTGAAATAACTTGAGGTTTCAAAAAGGTTACATATAATTTAACCGAAGTTCAAATAACTGGTAAGTAGTAAAGCAAGGACTTGAAACCAAGACTAACTCAAACCCTGTGCTCTTAACCACAAATCTATACTTCTATATCATGCAATAAAATCTAAAAATTTAAAGATTTTACATAATTATATTAAATTTTATACTAGTCATAAAAGATCAATATTAATCCATCTTAAGAACAGAACATAAATATCAGTGAGAGGATCATTTAAGAATCATTGCTGGAGATCTAATGCACAGCATGGTGATTATAGCTAATACTACTACAATATACACTTGAAAGTTGCTGAGAGAGTAGATCTTAAATGTTCTCACCACAAAAAAAAAAAATGGCAGTTATGTAACACAAAGGAGGTGTTAGGTAATGCTTTGGTGGTAATCATTTTGCAATATATAAATGTATCAAAGCAACACAATGTACACTTCAAACTTACACAGTGTTATGTGTCAATTCTCAATAAAGCTGGAAAAAAAGAAGAATTTGCTGAAAAGCCTCCTATTAATTATTTATTCTGGAAATTACTCCTAAGTTCCAAAGGTAAGGTGTTTTTGTTAAGTACACAGGTAAAGAAATCTAGTTCTATTGGCCTTTTTACAAAGACATAAGCCAATCCTGAAATCAATCATTGATCAATTAACCTAACTTACCTCTTCAAAGAAAGGAGATAATTTTAGAGAATATAAATAAGTTTTAGGGGATAAACTAAATCTACTCTGCCTTGTTTGCAGCCATTTTGGAATTAACTTATTTTAATTTGAAGGAGGCACAAGGGCTAATATTGTCAAAACGAAAAAAATAAATTCGCTAAAGGAAATATTACTGATATTAACACTTAGTTTTATAGATACAATATTACCCTGTATGTCAAGGATTTCTAATTTTATATTATAACTAGCATATTTATAGCCATAATTAGAAACACAGAAAATTGTATGAAAATAATTTTTATCAGTGAGAACTGTGAAAAGATTACTCATAGATCAAACATGTCTAGCTCAATCCAAGTTAAACTCTTATTCTTCTGGAATGAATTTTTACTAAAAGATAAATGTCTTGAGTCTGCTTTAGATAGTTATTAAAGACAAGAAAACCTGTTAATCATCAAAATTTTAAAATAATCTTAAATCAAGCCTTAAATTCATCTACCTTATGATATCCATTGCCTGGTAAAGGATTTCAGATTGATCAACTCCAAGAACTTTCTTTGCCCCAGCTTTAGCAGCAAACATAGAGAGAATTCCAGTTCCACAACCAACATCCAAAACTATCTGGTGTAATAAGAAAACAGATGTTATTGAGAAGGTCTAATATTTTTAAATCTACTCATATATATTACACTGTTTCTGGCTAGGAATAGATCACAAAAATTTAAAACTTCACCAATCAAATATAATAATAATTTCTATTTGGGGAAACTGAAGGTATCATTACAAGGGGTTGTT